AGTCGCTAATGAGCAGCTTGACTACTGGCTTGGGAAGTTTGTTTTGGAAATTCGGAAGAAGAAAGAACCTGGAAGCGTGTAAGTGACGACGAAATTTTCCAAAGACTTAAAATTTTCTTAGAGTGAACACATAGCCTGCATGATATATGGGATACTACTGTATTTTCTATAGTTGCAGAATAAATTTCTATATTTGTGTTAAAGGGAGAAATTTTGTCAGAATGTTTGGCGGGGTCAAAGGACGTGTATGATTTGCTTTAATTGCTCATTATAAATGGAAGGGATTTATTTGTATATTGCCCAGGACAGCAGGGCAATATACAGATAAATACCGGGTATTCATATAGATATTGCCCTTGCATCTATAATTAGCAATTTATTCAATTCATCAGCCCTGCTCTTCCCTGCTACATTATCAAGCCCTCCCCGGACTTTCAGTTAGTTAAATATTCATGAAGTATGTAAGTTAAATAAAGGATGTTGAATAACAAAAGAAAATGTGTGATTCATGAAATAATTACAGATACGTCCATGCAAGCAATGATTAGTTTAGTGTACAAATACATTTAAGGCAACACAAAGATACAGAAACAATTTCCACTTTCCATTCTCTCTTTATTGACTACTCAATTGACTCTACTTTAATTCACAAGACATGAATGGCTGTGCGATTTCCTTCCGGAAAAATCTTGAGTTGTATTTGGGTTGCCATACCTGTCGATTGAGTTATTTTACATTGGTATGCCTGTGGTGTGGAGGGACAGGTGGGTGGATGGACGGACGTACAGTCACACGACTACAAGTCACTATGAAAATTTCTCAGATGCATACAGCTGTAGATAACCAAATTTTCTTACCCATGGTGCTCTGCTGCACACACAAGAGCTCCGCTATTATTATTGTATTATGTGAATTAGAAATTTTTGCTGGATTAAATGGCACATCTGAAAGTCTACAAGTACGTTGACTACCAGACTAGTACAATGTATAAACTCAATGTTTGTCAAGTCTTACTTTATAGATAATTTAAGGAAACAATTTTAACAGAAATAAAATGTTCTTTGTCAAAGAAAAAAAAATTGCTAATTAAATTTAATGGTGAGGTCTATTTTCTCTTAACAGAATCTCAACAGAGACAAGGCTACAGGAAAACATTTCCAAAAGAAAGACTTGTCACCATCAAGAACATCTGTACACGTATCTGGTTGTACAAGTTACCAACCATCTCTGAATGGAGCTGAAACTGAAAATATAGACAATAACCCCCTGGATTTTTCTGCTGCTCATTCAAGAAATACTATTTCCAAGCTAAAAGATAATAAAGTTCAAAGCATTGGGAAGCATACACAAGAGACAGCTAGGATATTAGCCCCAAATCCTATATTCCAAACACAAGGAGGACTGTCATTTGATAGGAATAGTTCACAGGTTGAAAGAATTAAACAAGAGGCTTTGCTAGCTAGTGGGGACTGGGTGAGTACTTGTTCCATCAAGTTATGGTATATTAATATTATAATGATTTCTCTTTTTTGTAATGGATGTCTTTTGAGTCCATATTGGATTTTCCCAGAATCCTTTCCATCCTTTGATAGAGTAAACAAGAAAGTAATTTTTAGTTCTTAAGATGCCTGAGGTTGATACTTTCAAAACTGCACAGTAATTTTACCTGCTATAAGTAAAACTCTACTAAACGTGATAAGCACTGACATAACGTTGGGTTACATGTTGCTTACATGTCATGCCCCATTTAATCTGTTTTACAACTGAGTAGTAAAACTT